ATTTCTTTTGTACCCTTTGTACACCAGGGGCTCCTTTTCATAGCTTCTCTAGCCAGAGAGACTTTGCTCAGGGTTTTACATGCTCGCACCTCCACCACAGCGAAAAAACATCTCCCCCAATACAACTGACCTTGGGGCATAATGGGAAAGGAAAAAGAGAAAAATTAATAAAATGAAAATGGGAGTTACCTGTCTCCCCCTATACACACTCTGATGCACAGGATACATGTTAACCAATCCTATAGCTAGAACGGGAGGATTTCTCTTGAAATATTTGCTTTCATCTCCTACTCTGTCATTCTGGGGCTCAGTTTGATCTCAGGCCAAAGCCAGAAGACAAAAGAAAAAAATATGAAACTCACCCTCTCTTATATTCAAGTTTTGACTTCCCACACATCTCCTTTTGATTACTTTTCAAAGTAGCCAAGTAGTGTCTTTTATATAGTGTGCAGAGTTTTTAGTTGTAATCAGTTAAAAGGTTGTCTTTGATGAACTTACTCCATCTTGTCTGGCACTGAAAACCACCAGAACCATTAATTGTAATAACCCCATTAAGACTAAATAAACATATCTATAATGAGTATATTCTTCAAGATTCTCATAAAAATAAATTCATAAGAAATATTGAAGTTTATAAATATATTTGCCTGAGATTAGATTTTTGTTTGTTAAAGATAGTTAAGAAGGCCAGGCACAGTGGCTCACACCTGCAATCCCAGCATTTTGGGAAGCCAAGGTGGATGGATCATTTGAGGTCAAGAGTTCAAGACTAGTCTGCCCAACATGATGAAACCCTGTCTCCAATAAAAATACAAAAGTTAGCCAGGCAGTAGTGGTATATATCTGTAATCTCTGGTACTGAGGAGGCTGAGACAGGAGAATTGCCTGAGCCTGGGAGGTGAAGGTTGCTGTGAGCCGAGACCAGGCCACTGCACTCCAGTCTGAGCAACAGAGTGACACCCTGTCTCAAAAAAAAAAAAAAAAAGATATTCAAGAAAACTACAGCATAAAACTACTTTATGGTAAATTTGAATATTTTTATTCCATGAATATTTTCTCTGGCAAATCATCCTTGGTAAGTTGATTATCTAATAACTTGATTTGGGACAAATTGATTCAGAGCTTACGGTTGTTGGGAAAACAGTAAAATAATGTATGGGACTTACATTCAAGGTTATTTATTTATTTATTTTTGGTAAATAAAATCAAGTGAGGGAAGAGGAAAATGTCTCTTTTAATTCCTTGCCATAATGTTGAGTATAACCACTCATTTCATCTCCTAACTTATCCTACTATTAACAGATAATCGGTATAACTATAGTTGAAGGAAATGCAAATGGAGGTAAAATAAGTAAAAAAATGGATGTGTGGTAGTACTCTTGAGAGCAGGTTAAAAATCAACAGATGGGTTATTAAAAAGTCAAATGAAATACCGACAAGACCTTGGATATGGAAGTGATTTTTTTTTACCTACAACACCAAGATATGATCCATGAAAGAAATAATTGATATGTTGGACTTCATTAAAATTAAAAACTGCTAGTTTGTGAAAGACAATGTTAAGGAAATTAGAAAACAGGCCACGGACTGAGGAAATATTTGCAGAAGATATATTTGATAAGGGACTTATCCAAAAACACAAAAAACATTTAAAACTCAACAATAAGAAAACAAACAATCTGACCAGGTACAGTGGCTCATGCCTGTAATCTCAACACCGTGGGAGGCCAAGGTGGGAGGATCACTTGAGCCCCAAAATTCAAGACCAGCCTGGGCAGCAGAGCAAGGCTCCAGCTCTATAAAAATTAAAAAGGAAAAAGGAAAAATAAGAAAAGAAACAATCTTATTAAAATATGGGTTAAAGATCTTAACAGACACCTTAACAAAGAAGTTATACAGTTGGCAAATAAGCATATGCAATAATACTCCACTCATCTGTCATCAGGGAAATGCCAATGAAAGCAACAATGAATATTACTGTATAAAAAAAAATTTCCAGAACACTGGCAACACCATGCTAGTGAAGATGTCTAGCAGTAGGCACTCTAACTCATTGTTTTGTGGGAATTTAAAATGGTACAGCTACTTTGGCAGTTTCTTACAAATCTAAACATATTCTTACTATACAGCCCTGCAGTCATGGTTCTTGGTATTTACCTAAAGGAGTTGAAAACTTATTTCCACACAAAAACCTACAAATAGATGTTTAGGGCAGCTTTATTCATAATTACCCCAACTTGGAAGCAACTAAGATATTCTTTAGTAGGTGAATGAATAAACAAATTATGGTAGATCCAGACAATGGAATATTTTTCAGTGCTAAAATGAAATGAGCTACCAAATCAGGAAAAGACATGGAGGAATCTTAAATGTATATTAGTAAGTGAGAGAAGTCAATATGAGAAGTCTGCATATTGTGGTATTTCAACTATGTGACATTCTGGAAAAGCGAAAGCATGGGGATGGTAAAAGATCAGTGGTTGCCAGTGATTGGGTGCAGGGGAGGAGGGATGAATAAGTGGAGCCGTGGGAATTTTTACAGCAGTGAAAATACTCTGTATGAACATATAATGGTGGCACATATCATTATACATTTACCCAAACTCATACAATTTCAGCATCAAGAATGAACCCTAATTCAAACTGTGAACTTGGGTAATTCTGACATGTCAATGTAGGCTGATGAATTGTAAAATATATCACTCTAGAAGGGGGTTATTAATAATGGGGGAGGCCAAGTATGTGTGGGGGTAGGGTGCATATGACTTCCTTTCAAGTTCACAGAAAGCTCTGTGACTTCCTTTCAATTTTGCTATGAGCTTTCCACTGATCTAAAAAAATAGTCTTAAGAAAATGTAAATGATTCACATCTCTCTTAATTTCCCAAATGTATCCTGCAATATAAATTTTCCCTACAAAATGTGTCTTCTCACTGTGTCTTCATTTCCTCTGTCATTTTCCTAGACTAATATCTCATCAAACTACAACAGAATTATCTGAAAAACTTTCTAGATAATGGATATGTGATATTTACTTGCAGGCATTTTGGTGGAGGTCTCTTTTGGCAAAACGTTAAAGTTTTTCCCTTCAATGTTTAAAATCTCAAGTGTTTGATAAACCTCACCTCCTCACATAGAGAAAGAAGTACATCTCTTATGAGGACCTCAAAAATGACATTAGGGTGAAGAGAGGCTAAGAGATTGGGGAGTCTGGAATCCATGTTACTTGAATAAAAATCAGTTATTTTATATTTTGACACCAGTGTTTGGATGTGTCTTCAAAATTTTGACCTCAAAAAATTATGTAAAATTTTCCTATTTCTAAAACAAACCATCCAAGCGAGTAGAATATAAAGTTGAACAATGAGAAAGCATGGACACAGGAAGGGGAACATGATACACTGGGGCCTCTCAGGGGGTGGGAGACCAGGGGAGGGATAGCATTAGGAGAAATACCTAATGTAGATGATGGGGTGATAGATGCAGCAAACCACCATGGCACATGTATCCCTGTGTAACAAACCCACATGTTCTGCACATGTACCCCAGAACTTAAAGTACAATAAAAAAAAGAAAAAAAAAGAAAAATAGGTTAAAATGAGCATCTCATAATAGAAAAGTAAATGTTTTTAGAAAAACAAAACGTATTTGTTAGAATGCAATGGCTGTGGGGAAAACTGGATTTCCACGTGCAAAAGAATGAAAGTGGGCCCTAATCTTACACCATATACGAAAATAAGCTCACAATGGATAAAAGACCTAAATGGAAGACTGAAACCATAAAACTTCTAGAAGAGAATATAGGGGGAAGGATCCTCGACACTAGCCATTGGCTTTGGCAATGACTTTTTAGGTATTACACCCAAAGTTTTTGTAGCTCAGACTACAAAAGCAAAAATAAATAAATGGGAATATATCTAACTAAAAGTCTTCTCCACAGAAAAAAAAATTTAAAAATTAAAAATAATTTTACATAACAAAATGAACAGGCAACTTGTAGATTGAGAAAAATGATTGCAACCACATACCTAACAAAGAGTTAATATCCAAAATTTATAAAGAACTCTTACAACTTAAAGCAGAAAACCTGATAATAGACAAAGACCTGAACAAACATTTCTACCAGAAAGACATACAAATGGCCAAGTTATATTAAAAAGTGCTCAACATCATTAATCATATGTAGAGTAAGTCTAGAAATCTAATGTGCAGCATGAGGAATAGAGTGAAAAATTTGTATTGTGTTAGGAATTAAAAAAATAAGTAGATTTTAGCTGTCCTTGCACAAAAACTACGTGAGAGAATGCATATGTTAATTTATTTTAGTAACAATTTTACTATCTATCTGTATCTCATAACATTGTGTTGTAAACCTCAATTATATACAGCACATTTATTTTATTATTTTATTTTTTTAGGCTGAATCTTGCTCTGTCACCCAGGCTGGAGTGCAGTGTGGTATGATTTCAGCTCACTGCGACCTCTACCTCCCAGGTTGAAGCAATTCTCCTGCCTCAGCCTCCCAAGAAGCTAGGATTACAGCTGCGCAGCACCATGCCTGGCTAGTTTTTTGGTTTTTTGTCTTTTTTAGTAGAGACGGAGTTTCACCATGTTGGCCAGGCTGGTCTTGATTTCCTGACCTCAAGTGATCTGCCCACCTCGGCCTCCCAAAGTGCTGGGATTATAGGCAGGAGCTCCTCACCCAGCTTCAGTAAATTTATTTTTAAAAAAGAAAGTAGTGTGTAATACAAGGAAGTAAAAAAAAAAAATAACAATTTAAAGAGAGTCTTGAAAAGTGGGGAGAAGATTTTAGATTCAATGCCTTGACAAAGCAAAGCTCCTAAAGGTTTGTGGACATATAAGTGACAGAAAGTCTGGTCTTAGAGAAAGTGCAATAAGTCTATTATAAAGATCCCTGAATATTGCTTAGGTACTGCCTTAAGTTATATTTTGACCTTGGGCAAAATGTTTAATGTTTTCCATTTTGTTTTGTTTTGACAGGCTATGTTATTTGAAAATATAGGTCTTATGAGGTATGAAGAATTATTTGTTATATTAATGAATCTCGACATTACAAAACCAATTTCAGATGAAAATATTACAGTGACTGACACAACCTTTAGTGGCATTCCAGTACGTTTGTATTTACCAAAAAGGAAGTCAGAAAGGCAGAGACCGGCTGTAATTTTTCTTCATGGTGGTGCCTTTGTCATGGGAAGTTGCAGTAAGTGCACTTTATGTGTATATGTTGCAAATTACATGTTTATATTAAAATATATTGCATGTATACATGTAAAATTGGCAGAACATTTGCTGATATGATATTAATTTTTGTGAGTATGTATATGTATTTTAGCAAAGAAATGATAGATTGTATCAATCATGTTTCATACCTATTTCTTCATACATCACGTGGCAAATAACATTATAAAAACACTTGATGAGATTTTTGCATTAAAGATTTATTATTAAATGAATGATGCCCCCTTTGAAGCATGCAACACAGTGGACCTAGAAGGAGACTTCTGATAAAAAACTAGTGGGTCAGCAGAGCATGCCAAGTTTCTTTTCCCATTGTCACCAATCAGATGTCTTCTCTTTGTTTTCGGTGAGGAATGATTTAGTATGTGGAGGATTAGGAAGGTTTTCTTACTCTGACAGGTCCTTCCAAATGGTGACAAAAATGGAGATTATAAGGATTCTATCAATTAAGTACAATCTATACTTCTATCATATTTCATGAGTATCGGTGGTTTTTCATTGCTCTTTATTTACAGGGTACACGTTTATGTTTATTTCTTTCATTTCAGAGAATTCGCCTTATGATTTGCTGAACAGACAGACGGCAAACAAACTTGATGCTGTTGTTGTGGGAGTGGAGTAAGATTTTTAAAAAAGAACTATGATCCTTGCACTCACGACATAGGACTGATTTCCAATACCAGTCACCCAAGCCTCAAAAATGGCTTGAATTGTAGGGATTTTTTGTTTACATTAATAACTTTTATTCATATTACAATATCCACTCCTACTCAAAAGGACCCAATTTTCCTTTAGTCTCTTCCTTTGTAGAGAACACTGAGAGGCATTGCAGGGTGAACATCCTGGGCAACACAGCTGTGAGAATCTCTGGGAACATAAAGGTCCTAGAAGGACCTAGCTTAATCCCAATATAATAAACATAGAAAGAGGGCACTAGTTACCCCTTACACATTTGGGATGCTGGGTTTTGTTTCAGCTGGTAATAAAATGATGAATTTTAGAGATTATTTTGGGTTGGAAGAACATCAGGTGACAAATGTTGGTACTGTATGATAATTTCAAGTCATTCTCAAAATTAGAGATCTTAGTAGTTCGCAATTTTTTGCCAAAATTTCTAGCAACATGTGAGAAAGACGAATGATTGTCCAAAATGTCCAATACTTTTTGATGTATTCAGGTGTACTCTGTACTTCTAAAACCATCATCCTCAGGATGAAGAGCTTTTTCCATCTCTCCTGCCAATTTCAGAGGGCAAAAATACACTTAGAGACTTTTAGCCTTCTTATGAAAAGAGAACATAGTGTAATTTCTTGTGAGAAATTAATAGGAACAAATAGAACATACAAGTTGAACCAATGCCATCCTGTTTATTACTGCTGCTTTAGAGCAACCAGAAAAATCCCTTATGCTTTCAGAGGTATTTCTAACTTATACTAATTAGGATATTCTACCCTTTACCCTATAGGTTTAACCTAGTATTTCACTTAATCATTTCAAGTATACTTTTAAAATGATGATATATAGAGTATCTGATTCAATAATTTTATCAATTACTTATGATATTTGTTGTTCTTTTCTCTGAAGCGTGTTTAAAGTAACAATCACACTTTTGATATGTTATCTTGTTTAGATTATACTGTATTTTAGATACTTTAGATACAGAGTACAGTATGACAAAACTGCTAGGACCATCTTGGTAACATTTATTGTTTTGTGTTGACATATGCATAATTTACTAATTCTAATTATGGATATTAAGATTGCTACTATAGATAGAAATAAAATTGTACCATTCAATAGTTCCTATATTAGAAGGAGGTATGCTCTTATATTAAAAGGTAAGGTATATAATTTGTATGTGGCTTTATATATATATATTGCTCGAGATATATATGTACACTCATATATATCTTGATGAGCCTATATATCTTTAACAAGCCTATATATTATATATATGATTATATATATCTTTATGTCATATGTATATATTTAATGAGCCTATGTATAAATATTGAGCCTACATATTATATAAATATATAGGCTTATTAAAAGATGCTGCAACAGTTTGCCTTACAAATAAATTACAATGATTAAGGAAGATTCTTTGCTATACTTAAATATTGTTTACATTTAAAAGCTTTTATTTTTAATCAAGTTTTCAGGTAGTGCTCATGATGTGAAATGAGACGTGCAACCTTGTAGAATTTTAACCTAAATAAATTTCTAATACAAGATATCTACAAATAATTTACTTTCAGATTTTCTCCTGTTAAAATTTTTTGTGCCTTCCCAACAATAGTTCTGAAAATTGTTGACCCAGAAAGCATAGGCAACAAAAACAAAAGTAGCCAAATGGTGATTACACCAAACTAAAAGCTTCTGGAAAGCAAAAATAGTTAACACTCCACAGAGACAATCTATAGATTGAGAGAAAACATTTGCAAGCCATACATCTGATTAGGGGCTAACATAAAAAGTATTTATATTTTGAGCTCAAACAACTTAATAGCAAGAAAACAGAAAGCTCAGTTAAAAAATGAGCAAGAAATTTGATAGGCATTTTTCAAAAGAAGACATACAAATGGGCAACATATATATGAATAAATACTCAACATTGCTAATCATGAGGAAAGTGCAAATTAAAACCAGTGAGATGTCATCTCACACCTATTATAAAAAAGATGAAAGGTAGCAAGTGTTGACACTGGTGTTGAGAAAAGGAAACCCTTGTATAGTATTGGTGGAAATGTAAATCAGTACAGCCATTATGGAAAAGTCTATGGAATTTCCTCAAAAAATTAAAATTAGAATTACTATATGATCCAGCAATCCTACTTCTGGGTATTTGCCCCCAAAATTTGAAATCAGTTTGTCAAAGACATGTCCTCATTCCCATGTTCATTGCAGCACTATTCCCAGTAGCCAAGATATGAAGTCAAACTAAGTGTCCATCAACAGATGAATGGATAAAGAAAATGTGGTACATATACCCAAGGGAATACTATGCAGCCTCAATAAAGAGGAAATTCTGTCATTTGTGTCTACATGGATGGAGCTGGAGAACATTTTCCTAAATGAGATGAGCCAGGCACAGAAATACAAATACCACAGATTCTCACCGATATGTGAAAACTAAAATCATTGAATTCACAGAAGCAGAGAGTAGAATGGTGGTTACGGAGACCAGTGGTTAGGACCAATGAGGAGATGATGGTAAAAGAGTACAAAATATGTTTTTTAAAAAAGAGGAATTCTTTTTTAGTTCTATTGCACAATACAATGAATATATTTAATAATAGTGAAAAAAATTGCAAAGAGAATAAATATCAAATGTTCTTACCATAAAACATATTAAGTATTTGAGGTAATAGATATATTACCTAGATCAATTTAATTATTTAATATATGTTATATTCATAAATCATAACATCACTTTGTACCGCATAAATTTATAAAATTATAATTTATTAAAATGTATGTAATACTTTATAAATAAAAATTTTTACAAATTCTAATTGTCAGTGTAAAGTAAAAATTTGTTCTTGAATCACCAACTACATTGAGAATCTGATAAATACTACAGGATACCTCCCTCCTGATTGCTCTTCTGTTGAAAATTTTATGAGACCAAAGACACGTCATTCTCCTTCTCATCTCCCGATAAAGCCAACATTTTGTAACCTTTATACCAGCATCTACTTTTTATTTGAAAACAAAAGTTAGTAGTAAGTCAGGTTCAATTGGTGAAATTAAAGTCAAAGTAGGGCCAATATGATAAGTAGATCTGTTGCTTAAATTGATAGATGTTTGGGTAATTATAACTTAAGTTTAATCATAAATGCTTTGTTGCTTTTTTTTTTTGTTTCTGAAGCTATAGACTATCTCCTCAATATCATTTCCCTGTTGCCTTTGAAGATACTCTTTCTGTGGTCAAATTCTTTCTACAGAACAAAATTCTTGAACGATATAGGGTGGATTCCACCCGAATCTGTATTTCAGGTGATAGTTCCGGGGGTACATTGGCAGCATCAGTGACTCAACAGGTACGTTATATGTGTTATGCATGTTTACAGCATGCATACATACTGTAATTTGAACACAAGAGAATCATCTTATTTCAGTTACAATATATGTATTGGTCTTATATTTTCAACTTTGAAATAGCAAAAATGAACAAACATACAAAAAACCTTCTCGTCCCTTTTTGTGTAATTATACCTTAGATAGATATGGCTTTAAAGGCATTAAGGGGACATTGCACATAATGTTAAATAAGCTCTTATTTACCCCATTAATTTTAAGAAAACTACAACAATGTCCAGGAACTACCATTTAATATGACAGAGGCTTGTCATTCTCCTTAGGTAAATTGTAAAGTCTGCTGAGCATTTGGGGTCATTGTAATCCATGTTTTCAGCTCTGTAGAGTGTCATCAGATAACGTATCAGCCCTGTGTTATGCTTGTGCAGAAGCAGCTCTACTGTGACAGAGAAATTTTACCTTACGTTAAAACCCTTGTCATAAGCAACTAAGTAACTGCCCAAATAAATATTGAAAAAATGATTTCAGTCTAATATATAATTCCCACTGCCAAAACGTTTATTTAATGGAACAAAATTTACCTAAGCAGAGGAATATCCTCTTCAATTATAGAACAGCCTCTGCTTATAAAATGGATGTAGTCTCAAAAGTTAGTTTGTAAGTTCTTATTCTGCCTTTAAGTAAAAATAAAACAAAATAAAACCACAATGAATAAAGGAAACTTCTCGGCACATCCCATGTAGCATGAAAAAGAGGAAATGAACTTAAATCCTGTTCCTCTCTTCATGATCTCAGAGCCCCTCTGGGTCCTTAGCTTTGAGGATCCATGTATCTTCAGGCAGATGAAGGAAGTAGAGTTGTGGTCATGGATTAAAACCTTCCCTGTCTGCAGCAGCAAACTGATGAGCAAAGAGAGAGAGAGAGTCTGGGGCAGGGCTCTCAACACAGGGGAGAGGGCAGATAATGTCTAGGAGAGCTTCGAAACAAGCAGAGCAGTGTGGAGGGTGGAGTAAGGGATTAAATGCTTATGTGCAGTTACTCCTAGGCCAGGTGTTTGTGTGCAAAGCTTTGAATGTAATAATTTTTAAGTTTTTAAGAAGGTTTTTGAAGATTATTTCAATAATATCGATAGTGTGCGTTACCTATCTCTAAACTGGTCATTTCACCTTTTAAGGTAACTGTCCCTCACTTTATTAAATTATAAAATTCTGATTAAACCAATAACTTAAATTCTTAATACATTAATTCATACAAAGCTCATAAAGTACTAAAAAGCTTTTTAGAAATTACTATTTGAATATTCTTTTTTATGTGGAATGATGATCATCACACAAATAGTGGATAAGAGAAGAATAAAATAAAAGGTTTTATTAACAAACCTGCAAAGTAGGAAGTGATTTTTCTAAAACAAAACAAAAAAAGAGATATAGACTGCAGCTCAAAAGATGTGTACTCTCTGGTTTTAGATAAACTCAAAACTTCTTACTGCCAATATCTGTTCTGAATTGCAGTGCAGAGAAATACTTGGTATTTAAGATTTGAGAGACATATTGTTTGTTAAATAAGCTTTGCCAGTTTGCTTAGACAGGAAAAATGTAGATAGATGTTGTATTCATTCCATTCCCACATGCAGTACATAATCATATTTACAATGATCTTTTTATTTTACAGTGGTAAAGGGATATTATTTCCACTATAGTTTTGATGTACCTTTCTTTCACTACCAGTAAAATAGAATACTTTTTACTGGTAAAATGAAAAATGTGAATAATTTTATTTCCTCCTTAATAAGCTCTCTATTAATAATCTTTGATAATTTGTTTCACCATATTTTTCTTTGAAGAGTAGAATTATTTGTTAACAAAGATGACCTTTGTAATTTATTTTTGCGAGTCTGTTTGTATTATTTGCATGGAAAATAGACTTGTTCATCTTTTTAAATTTTTTTCTGTTTTTACACTTAGAAAACTTTTAAACTTGTATAATATTGAAAAATCTTGGTTCTCATTATTTTTCTTTATTATTTTTCCCATTGCCTTTAAGCTTAGAAAAACTTTCTGGTTTAGAAACTTGATAAAATTGTTTCACATAAAGTATATATTTATTATCTATACATCTACATATAATCTATTCTATCTCTAAAATAATTAATATGCTAAAATAAATAATATATAATGCCTCTGTGTTACCAACATTGCGGCCTTTGATTGGCTTTCATATCCTGTGGAGCTAATGTTTTCAATTATTATTCCTATTTTAATTTAACATTTATTATTTCTTTTCACCTGCCATACAACATCAGACTTTACCTGTGTCTTTTCAAACAAAAATGGAGCCAAGCTAATAGTTGGCCTGCTAGGACATGAATATTTTCAGAAAAGATAATTCTTTTCCATTGCCTATAGTGATAATACTAAATATAATTAATGTTTATTGAACACTTACTGCATTCCTGGAACTCTTCCTCACTAGTTTCATCTCATTTTCACCATATAAAAACCATATACAGTATTGACTAATAAAATCATTAATTTTGAGATCAGAAAACTGAAGCTTTGCTGTTGATAAAGACATACCTGAAACTGGGAAGAAAAAGAGGTTTAATTGGACTTACAGTTCCACTTGGCTAGGGAGAATTCAGAATCACATCAGGAGGTTAAAGGCATGTCTTACATGGCAGCGGCAAGAGAATATGAGGAAGAAGCAAAAGAGGAAATCCCTGATAAACCTATCAGATCTTGTGAGATTTATTCATTATCACAAGAATAAAAAACACCAGCCCCCCATTATTTTAATTACCTCTTCCTGGGCTCCTCCCACAACACAGTGGGAATTCTGGGAGATACAATTCAAGTTGAGATTTGGGTAGGGACACAACCAAACCATATCAGTGGGCATTCTTGTCATGTTCCAGATCTTACATCAAAGCTTTCTTTCAGTTTTTCACCATTCAACATGATACTACCTGTGGGTCTGTCATATATGGCTTTTATTATGTTGAGGTATGTTCCTTCTGTGCCAAGTTTTTGTAGAGTTTTTATCATGAAGAGATGTTGAATTTTATCAAATGCTTTTTAAGCATCAATTGATCATATGGTCTTCATCCTTCATTCTGTTGTTATTATGTGTCACATTGATTAATGTATGTCAACTTGTCCTTCCATTCCTGGAATAAATCCCAGTTGGTCATAATGAAGGATCTTTCTAATGGATTGTTGAATTTGTTTTGCTAGTATTTTGTTGAGGATTTTTACACCAATATTTATCAGAGATATTTCCCTGTAATTAAAAAATTTTTTTTTCCTCAGGTTTTGGTATCAGGGTAATACCAACCTCATAGGACGAGTTTGGAAGTATTCCATCCTTTAATTTTTGGAATAGTTTGAGTGGTTGATGTTAGACTTTCTTTGAATGTATGGTAGAATTCCACAGTGAAGCCATCAGGTCCTGGGCTTTTCTTTGCTTAGAGAATTTTTATTATGGCTTTAATCCCATTACTTGTTTTTGGTCTGTTGAAGTTTTGGACTTCTTCTTGGTTCAATCTTAGTAGGTTGTATGTATCTAGGAATTTTTCCATTTTTTTTCTAGATTTTTCAATTTATTGGCATATAATTGCTCATAGTAGCCACAAATGATCCTTTGAGTTTCTGCAGTATCTGTTGTATTGTCTCCTTTTCATTAAAAAAAAAATTTATTTAGGTATTCTCTGTTTTCTTCTTAGTTAGGCTAAAGGTTTGTCAATTTTGTTTAACTTTTTTTTTTTTAAAGAACAGCTTTTTGTTTCATTGATCTTTTGTATCATGTCCTTCATTTATTTCTGCTCTAATCTTCTTCTTCCTCTTCCTCTCCTCCTTCTTCTTCCTCTCCCTCCTCCTCCTTCTCCTCCACTTTTTCTTCTGCTTCTCCTGCTTCTTCTTCTTCTTCAAGAGATTTTCACTCTGTCACCCAGGCTGGAGTCCAATAGTGAGATCTTGGCTCACTGTAACCTCTGGCTCCTGGGTTCAAGCAATCCTTCTGCCTCAGCTTCCCTCATAGCTAGGACTGCAGGCATGTGCCACCATGCCTGTCTAATTCTTGACTTTTTAGTAGAGACAGGGTTTCACTATATTGGCCAGGCTGATTTCAAACTCCTGTCCTCAAGTTGTCTGCCTGCCTCAGCCTCCCAAAGTGCTGAGATTATAGGCATGAACCATGACACCCAGCTCTTATTTTTCTTCCACTAATTTTGAGTTTGAATTTTTCTTGCTTTTTTACATCTTCAAGAAGCATCATTAGATTGTTTATTTAAAATTTTTCCTCTTTTTTGATGTGGCACTTATAACTCTAAAATTCCCTCTTAGTACTGCTTTTGCTATATCCTGCAGGTTGTTATGTTGCATTTCCATTGTCATTTGTTTCAAGAAAATTTTCTATTTTCTTCTTAATTTCTTCATTGACCCACTGGTAATTCAGGAGCATATTGCTTAGTTTTCATGATCTGTAAGTTTTCAAAATTCCTCTTGTCATTAATTTCTAGTTTCATTCCATTGTGGTCAGAGAAGATGCTTGATATTATTTCAATTTATTTGAATGTTTTAAGACTGGTTTTGTGACTTAACATATAGTCTACCATTGAGAATGATCCATGTGCTGAGGAAAAAATATGTATTCTGTAGCCCTTGGATAACATGTTCTGTAAATATCTGTTGCATCCATTTGTCTATAGTGCAGATTAAGTCTGATGTTTCTTTGTTGATTTTCTGTCTGAAAGATCTGTCCAGTGCTGAAAGTGGAGGTGTTGAATTCTCCAGATATTATTGTGTTAAGGCCTATCTCTCTCTTTAGCTGTAATAATATTTTCTTTATATATCTGTGTGCTCCAGTTTTGGGTGCATATATATTTACAATTGTTATATTCTCTTGCTGAATTGACTCATTATTTTGTGACTTTCTTTATCTCTTCCTATAATTTTTGTCTTGAAATCTATTTTGTCTGATATAAGTATAGTGTATCCTGCTGATTTTTGTTTCCATTGGAATGGAAGACCTTTTGCCATCCCTTTATTTTCAGTGTATGTGAGTCTTTATAAAGTGTGTTTCTTATAAGTAACAGATTGATAGGTCTTGGTTTTTTATCCATTCAGCCAATCTATGTCTTTTGATTGGAGAGTTTAGTCCATTTACTTTCAATACTATTATTGACAAACAAAGACTTACTCCTTCATTTTGTTATTTGTCTTTCTGGATGTTTTGTGGTCTTCCCTTTCTTCTTTCTTTCCTTCTTGTCTTCCCTTAGTGAAGGTGATTTTCTCTGGTGATATGATTTAGCATCTTAATTTTTACTTTTTGTGTATCTGTTGTATGTTTTTTGCTTTGAAGTTACTATGAGGCTTGCAAATACTATCTCTAATGCATTATTTTAACCTGATAACAACTTAACACTATTTTTATAAACAAATAAGCAAGCAAAAAGAAAACTTTACCTCCTAACTTCATTCCCTGGTATTTTAACTTTTGTTCTTTCTAATTATATCTTATTGTAATGACTATGTCTTGAAAAGTTGTTGTAGTTATTATTTTTGATTGGTTCATCACTTAGTCTTTCTGCTTAGTGTAAGAGTAGTTTATACCCCACAGTTACAGTGTTGTAACATTCTGTGTTTTTCCATGTACTTAGTATTACCAGGGAGTTTTGTACCTGCAGGTGATTACTTATTGCTCATTAACATCCCTTCTTTTTGATTGAATTATTCCCTTTAGCATTTCTTGTGGTACCTGTCTCATGTTGATAAAATCCTCAGCTTCTTCTGGGAAAGTCTTTATTTCTTCTTCACGTTTGAAGGATATTTTCACTGGATATACTATAATATGGTAGAAGTTATTTTCCTTCAGCATTTTAAATATGTCATGCCATCTCTCCTAGCCTGTAAGATTTCCACTGAAAAGTCTGCTGCCAGATGTATTGGAGCTCCACTCTATATTATTTGTTTTTTTTCTCTTGCTGCTTTTAGGACTCTTGCTTACCCTTGACCTTTGGGAGTTTGATTATTAAATTCCTTGAGGTAGTTTTGGTGTTAAATCTGCTTGGTGTTCTATAACTTTCTTATAGTTGGATATTGATATCTTTTTGTTGGTTTGGTAAATTCTCTTTTATTATCCCTTTTAACAAACTTTCTACCTCTATCTTTTTCTCTACCTCCTCATTAAGGCCAATAACTCTTAGATTTGTTCTTTTGAGACAATTTTATGGGTCCTGTAGGCATGCTTTATTGTTTTTTATTCTTTTTTCTTTCGTTTTCTCTGACTGTGTATTTTTAAATAGCCGTTTTTCATCCTCACTAATTCTTTCTCCTCCATGATTGATTCTGCTGTTAAAGGACTCTGATGCATTCTTTGGTTTGCCAGTTGCATTTTTCAGCTCCAGAATTTCTGCTCAATTCTTTTAAATCATTTCAATCTCTTTGTTATATTTATCTGATAGAATTCTGAAATCCCTCTCTGTGTTACGTTGAATTTCCTTGAGTTTCTTCAGCACAGGTATTTTGAATTCTCTGTCTGAAAGGTCACATATCTCTGCTTCTCCAGGATTGGTGCGTGGTGCATTGGTTCATTTAGTGAGGTTATGTTTTCCTGAATGGCGTTGGTGCTAGATGTTCTTCAGTATCGAGGCATTGAAGAGTTAGGTATTTATTATAGTTTTCAATGTCTGGGATTATTTGTAGCCCTCTTTCTTGGAAGGCTTTCTAGATATTTGAAAGGACTTGGGTGTTGTGATCTAAGCTGTATCTACTTTAGGGGGCATCCTAAGTCCAGTAATGCTGTTGTTCTTGCAGACTCATAGAGGTACTGCCGAACTGATGGTCTTGGACAAGATCTGGTAAAATTATCTGGATTACCAGTCAGTGACTCTTCTTCCCTTTCCTTCCCTTACTTTCTATCAAACTAACAGAGTCTCTCTGTCTGTTCTGAATTACCTAAAGCTGGGGCTGGAGTGACACAAGCATCCCTGTGGCCACCACTACTGGAACTGTTCTTGGTTAGACCTGAAGCTAAAACAGTGCTGGGTCTCACTCACCTTCAGGGCAGTGAGGTCCTCCAGCTGGAGTACATCCAGAGGTGCTATCTGGATATCAGGAACAAGAACCAAAAACCTTAGAAGTCTAACTGATGTTCTATTGTATTGCAGCTGAGCGGACACTTAAACTATAAGACACAGTTTTTCCCACTCTTCCCTCTCCATTCCAAAGGCAGAAGAGCCTCACTCAGCAGCCACTGCTTCCAGGTCATGAGGAGTCATGCCAGACTACCAGCCAATGTCCTCTTAAGGCACAAGGGCCCTTAAGTCAGCTTGTGGTGAATACTGCCTGGCCTGGGACTCACCCTCTAGGACAGCAGGATTCCCAAAAGCCCACTTGGCATTCTGCTTTCCTGTGGCCATGCTGGTACCTACAGTGCAAGACCAAGTCCCCTTTACTTTTCTCTTTGCTTTTCTCAAGCAGAAGGGTTTTTGCCCCATAGCCACCACAGTTGGAAATGTGCTGAGGACCACCTGAAGCCAGTAAGTCTCAAAGGCTTACCCAAGGTCCTTGGTGTAGTACCTGGGTATCCATGCTGGTTATTCAGGGCCCAAGTGCTCTTCAGTTAACAGGTGATGAATACTACCAGGACTGGGTCCTTTTCTTCAAGGCAGCGTGTTACCTTTTGGCCTGTAGTGTAATTAGACATGTCATCTAGGAACTAGGGGCTGGATTAGGGCCCTCATGACTCTGTCCAGTGAGCTGGTATCCAAGATGCAAACAGAGTTCTCCCTACTCTTCTCTCTCCTCTTCTCTCCTCAAGCAGAAGGAAGGGGTCTCTTTTGGAGCCCCAGCTGTGCAGCCTGGGGTTAGGAGAGGGGTGGTGCCAACATTTCCTTGGCTGCCCCATCTTATGTCTCAGTATGTCATGTGCAACCATAGTCCATTGACTCTGGGCCTAGTTCAGTACTAGGCCTTGCCTAAGTGTTACTGTCCTTATGGCCTACACTGCCTTTCAAATTTACTTGGACACATGGAGCACTGTAGCCCTTGGTGCAAACACTCAGGTTCTGACTGCTGAAATCCAAGATTCGATACGAAGTTAAAACAAGGTACTGTGATTGTACACCTGATTTTTTATTCTTAGGGAGATGCTTTTTTGCATGTTCAATTTGGTGTTCCTATGGAGAAGACGATTGGTGGAGGCTTCTATTTGGCCATCTTGAATAAAACAGTTTAATGTTCCTGAGATGAAGTATAAATATTTTGAAAATAGTCATTGAGCCCGGTGTTGGTTTTATAACTTTATCTTATAATTACTCATGTTATTGAAGTGAAGACTTGAACTTCTATAGTTTAAAAACCTTTGACTAATTCAAATTCTATTATATATTTTCAGCTAAAGAATGACCCAGTATTCAAAAATAAAATTAAGGCACAAGCTTTAATTTACCCCTTTTTACAAATGATTGATTCCTTCATGCCATCTCACCGAGAAAATGAACATGGCCTGCTTCTAACAAGGGATATTGCAATTAAAATTGGAGCCTTGCATGTGACCAAAGATGAAGCACTTTCTCAGGCATTAAGAAAAAACAAACATATGCCTCAAGAATCAAGGCATCTATTCAAGTTTGTTAACTGGAGTACCTTTCTCCCTGAGAAGTATAAAAAGAACCATATTTATAAGGAACCAATTCTTGGAAGATTTAACTTATCATATCCAGCACTTTTGGATAGTAGGTTATCACCCTTGTTAGTCAATGATTCCCAGTTACAAAAGTTGCCATTAACTTATATCCTCACCTGTCAACATGATATTCTAAGAGATGATGGACTTATATATGTCGCACGACTTCGAAATGTTGGAGTTAACGTTGTTCATGATCACATAGAGAATGGATTCCATGGAGCTCTATCATTCATGACATCACCATTTTATTTACTCATAGGCATTGGAATAAAAGATAAGTATATTACTTGGCTAGAAGAAAATCTATAAATCCATAAATCATACATGTCAGCAGATAATCATTTAGTTAGTATTATAATCCAAAGATTATGTTTTAAAGTCTTGTCAAAGTTTAAATCAGAGTAACTTCAAATCTAAGTTTAAATTGTGTACCTTTGAACAAATTATTTATTTTTTCTACTCTTTAACCTTGCTAAAGTGACGACATTAGTGTATTATTCCCATTTCATATAATTTGCTTGTTAAACACTAAATATCCAATAATATCAGTAAAGTATAAAAGTAAGTATGGTTATAGGCAAAGTAGGCATAACATTTTCTGGGCAGTGATAGGAATGGTAATGGCGAGTGAGGAGAAAATTTAAGGAAGGAAAATTGCAATGACCTTTGTATGAGGATATCACTACATTATATTGCAGCCATTTTTTCTATTAGGTATGGCCCATACATTATTTACATCTGCCCAATGTAAATTCCATTAGTTTTTCCCCATTCATTTAATAAAAACAAAGTCTGATTTCAAATGTATTGCTAGGATTCTTTGCCTATAGAAGAAGAAAAAAAATTAACTTCTGGACTCTAAATTATTTCTATAGCCTGAAATGTTCACCCTTACTCAGACTTTTAGCAAAGTCACTACAAACTTTTAGCAAATTTTACTACATTGATTGCTATGTGCTGATTATTAATCCAAGGAGCTTCCTAACAAACTATACATGTCAGCCAAAGTTATTTATTTATTCTATTATTGTGAATTCCAGGTTGAATCATATATCCTCATGCAGGATATGTAAGTAGCAAGATAATCTCTGGAACTCTTTCCTGTGATGATGAGTTCAATGCTCATGTAAGCCTATTCCAACCCCATAACTAAAATGCATTCCCATTACGAGGCATTAGAAGTAATGTCTAATTTTTGAGGTCCTTGTGATGCTGCTGTTTGCCTGATGTTGTTTTCTCTGTTCTGGGTCTTTTATAAATGCTCAGTAAATATGGTAATGTGTAAATTTACTTGTTTCTGTGGATTTGATTGATAACTAAATACCAAAATTTTTTCTTTTGATCTGCCGCTTATTCACTTGCTGTTTGGTCATCTCAACAATAATCTGTTCACTACTTTTTAGCAAATTTTACCATATACATCTCTTCACTAAAATTGAAATAACTGAGTTATATTTCACAAGTTTGAGAGTTTGTTGATGCATATGTTTTCTTTGCTGTTAGTTGTTCCATGAGGTCATAGTTAAAGCTATGACCTCCTGTGCAATGACTGGTTGTTCCACTGATAAATCACAAGGGACATTGATAAACTCACTGTAAACCAGAATTGACAAAAATTTTGTTTGCCTGACTTAACTATTACTCATTTAAGTCATGTGAGTAGGTATTATGCGTTCAAGGTTTGTTTCGCAAACATTGCACACCAGGAAAAGTCTGTAGACTAATTGCAGCATTCATGCATGTATTTGTTCATTTATTCATTCACAAACTTCATTGAGTATTTTCTGTAATGGTTAAATTTCAAATAAATCATGAGCATGGAAAAAGATTAGAAAACTGTCAATTTTTTGGTTCACAAGGTAAATATTTTGAAGTAAGTTATTTAAACATTAAACACACTTATAGAGCACTGAACATATAAAAGTAAGGAAGTATTAAATACGAATTATATAAATTCAGTCACCACCCAGATTATCAGTCTTTCAGTTAATATATATGATTGAACATCAATTTTAGGATAATATGCAATATGTTTCTCTAGAGACTTGTATAATATTTAAGCAAATTGCTAGTGACAGAGTAATGTTGTATCTGATATGTTTTGGATGTAGATACAGAATTACCAGTTAATTAAAAACATAAAGGAAATAATTATTTCCTGAGATATAAAGGGGTCAAAAAACCCCTCTTACTGGAAAAAATAAAATTGATAGAATACTTAGCATTAAAGTACCTGGAAGTTGGTTGATGGTCTATTACAAAGGTATCAGAAGCAGATGAGTCTATAGCTCATTTTATCGCATATTTCAAATCAATTCATGCAAATGCTCATGAAAATATTTTGCATACAGTAAAAAGTTAAAAGGCTGTGCAACTTATTTCATTAATTCAGCATAATTTCTATACTAAATTTTAATAAAAATAACGAATAAACTTTATTATATAAAGAAAATATGGTGTATATACACAGCATAATAAAAGAGAATGAAAAATTTTAAAAGTATGAAATTCTACCATTTGCTTGCAATGTGGATGATCCTAGAGGCCACTATGAAATAAATCAGGCACAAAAAGGTAAAGATTACCTTCCTGTTCTTACTCATATATAGATGCTAAAAATTTTTGAGCTTATAGGAGAGACGAATAGACTTGTGGTTATAAAAGGATGGGAAGGTAAGGGAAAGAGGAGGATAGAGAGAGGTTGGTTAATGGATACAGAGCAACAAGTAGATGAGAAGAATACTGTTCTAGTGTTCTGCAGTGCAGTAGGATGAATATTGTTAATGATAATTTAGCATTTTTAAAAAGCTAGAAGACAGGATTTTGAATGTTCGCAACACAAAGAAATGATAAATGTCTGAAATAATGATATGCTAAATACCTTGATTTGATCATCATACACCGTGTACATGTATATAAATATTATTCTCTATCCCATAAATATGGGCCATTATTATGTGTCAACTAAAAACAAAATGGAAAAGAGAAAACAAAGCAGAAGATAAAAAGAAACTCCATCATAAATATAGATTAAAAATTCTGTATGATGTTCTATCAAAGAGAAACCAAAATAAAGGTACACTGTGACCAAACAGGGCTTATTCTAGTAATGCTAAGGTTTATCAGTCAGGAAATATATCCAACAATTAAAAAATTAACAGTGGAAAACAACATAATAAAATCAATACATAATGAATAGATACTTGATAAAATTCACATTATTTTAATTTAAATAAAATTCAAAGTAAGATATAAATAACTTTAAAATAAAAAGTTTAATTGCAAATATCCAACAGTAAGTATATAAAAAATAATGAAACAGATAAAGGCAGAGCCAGATTGTGGAACTGAAGCCTCTCTCTGCAAGAACACAAATTGAACAACTATTCACATTAAAAAAAAGCACGTTTTTAAAAATCCAAAAATCAAGCAAGCAGTCATAGTACCTGGTTTCAACTTCGTATCACTGAAAGAGTCACCAAAGTGGGGAGCAAAGAGATTCTTGAATCATCTACAACAGTCTTGCCCCGGAGACAGAATCTGTGTTCTTGGGAGAAGGGGATGTGCAGTAATTGTGGGGTTTTTGCGTTGGAACTTAGCTGCCCTATAATGGCAAAAAGCATCACAGGGCAGAATTCAGCTGACACCCATGGAGGAAACATTTAGATGAGGCCTAGACAGAGAGAAATTGCCAATCTCTGTGGTCAGAATTTGAATTTGGGCAGGGCTTGCTGATACGGAGCAAGGAGGCCTTGCTGATATGGAGGCCTCTGATGAATGGAGGAACACCAGGGTCCTTGGTCTAGTGCTGATAGGGTTAATGACACAGACACACATGGAGTAGTTTTAAGGAGTGAAAAGTTTAATAGGAAAGAAAGGAGAAAGAAAGAAAACAACTCCCCCATACAGAGACAGTGGTAGGGGGGCTTTGGAACAAAGCGAGAACCCAAAAGAGGTTGGTTATATTGGGAGGCTGGAGGAAGTAGTGTTTGGTTTGCATAGGGCCTAGGAGATTGATTTGACCGGGTGGTCATTTACATAGCCCGTGAAAAACCTAGTCCTTTCACCTTAGATTTTAATATGCAAATGTAGGTCACCATGATGTTCTGAGCACATGGTATTATCTGAAGGTGATTATGACACTTGGCACACATGCTGATAAGGAGGAGAGGTGGGAATAGCCATACTGGCCATGTTGGATGGACCAAGTTTTTAATTGCCTGCATTTGCATATCAATGCTTGCCAGCCTGGCTCTTTAAGCTGCCTTTCTGTTAGAAAAGAAATGGTTCAGAGGTTGTTTCTGTTAAAAGAAAAATTTCCACTGGGAACCTTTACCCTATCTACCTGCCTAAAATTATTTCCTAATAACTCCTGTATTATTGTCACCATGCACTATACTGTTCTGGGATCCTAAATAAACATGAAAGGCAGTCTAGGTAACAAGGACTGCAATTCCTGGGCAAGTCCTGGTGCTATGCTGGACTTGCAGCCAGTGGACCTGGGGTGCAAATGACCCAGAGGCACCAGCTGGGGTGGCCAAAAGAGTGCTGGAAACCTCTCTCAACCTTAGGCAGTGCAGCTTGCAGCTCCAGGAGAGAACACTTTCTTGTACTTGAGAGGAGAAGGGAGAGGAAAGAGAACGTTGTCTTGCAACTTGAATACCAACTCAGCCACAGTAGAATAAAGCACTAGGCAGAGTACCAAGGCATCCATTCCAGGCGCTAGCTCCACTCTGAGCCAGAAGGAAACTCACTGCCTTGAAGGGAAGGACCAGTCCTGAGAGAATTCATCGCCCTCTGACTAAAAAGTTCTTAGGTCCTGAATAATCAGCAGTGGTAGTCAGGCAGTACTCGCAGTGGACCTTAGGTGAGACTTAGAGACGTTTTCGGGCTTCCAGTGTGACCCAGGACATTCCCAGCTGTGGTGGCGACAGAGAGGGATTCTTTCTTCTTGAGAAAGCATGAAGGAAGAATTTCAGCCCATTACATTAGTTAATTCCTTATTAAAGTAGTTCAGATTTTCCCGCCAGTGGACCTCTTTTCAGTCCTCTTGACATGAATCTGGAAATCTTTGAACACTTCCTTGCTGTCTGGTATGTTGGTATTTTCCAGGCTCACATTATTTATTCCCTGCACAGGCCTGTGATTAGCTGTTTATTCCCAAATATCAAGTTTCCATTTACTATCTGGCTTAATTTGATGAAAATGATATTTCAATACTATTATCTGAGCACAAGGTCTTTAAAGTGAACACAAATAGGAATTTTCTAAAAATACTTAAAGCAATTCTTGACTCTGATATTTTTTAGCTGAAATTCAAGAACAGAGTTTTTACCTGATCTCTTTTATATCACATCTCTTTTCTTTCACATTAAGAATTCAAGAAT